AAGGCAAGGTGCTGCTCAGGTCGGGGGCCCGTGTGCACCCCCCGCCAAAGCCGAAGCCGAAGGGAAGGTAGGACTGAAGAGGCGGAAAATGAGGACTAAAGGGGAGGAAAATGTGCTGTTTGAAGTGGGGGCGGCCTGGACCTCAGTGGTTCACTTGCCCTTGTCTTGCGGCCTTGAACAAACGGAGCTCCTGCTGGTGTTTCCTCCAAAGGAACAAGTGTGTCACAAAAAGTGAGAGCAAATTTCTTTAGCTGAATAAGCTCTCAGAAATGGAAATATTTTTTGTGGCTCAATGAAAAATTGCTGACCTTTAGGCTGCATGTTGTTCTTAAATCTTCCAAACGTTCTTTGAAACGCATTCGCCAGCATCTGCCTTCAAGAAATGCCTTGTGTTACAGAGGGTGGTAGCTCACCTGTACCCCAGCTGGCTGTGTTGCTCACTGTTCCATCCCAAAAGCCAAGGGTGGGGAATAGGCTTTCTCCCTGGTGTGGACGAGAAGGTTCAGGAGAAACTCCTCTGTGGCTGAAGCCAAAATCAGTGCTTTTTCAGTACAGCAACAAAGCGTAGCGTGCTCGCTGGGGGCAAGAGGCCCAGCCCATGAGCAAACATGCATTCAGGTACCAAACAATGAATATTCAGGCACTAAAATGGACAAAGTGTTTTGGGGATGTGTTCGGGGTAATCAGAAGAGTCTTTGGAGAAAGAGCACCTTATTGGTGAATGTAATTCCAAGCCTTAGTTTCCTTCTGCTGTTGTAGGATGGACCAAGCGCAAGTGGAGTCTGATTCTTAGAGATATTTAGGCACCTAATTACTGTTGTGAATTTGTGGAGTTGAGGAGGCCTCTTAGGCATGTGCCAATTAACATTAATAACAGTAATGAAAGTAAAGATGTTGAAGTCTTAGAAAGAGGAGTGGGTTTTTTTTTTCCCTATTATAACCTAACTCATGAAGATGAATTGACATTTCTGCACTGACACAATAATGTTTATAGCTGCATATTCTTCTCTGGGCGACTTTTTCTGTTAAATTTATGTCATTGAAAGCGGGATTTAAGAAAAACTGTGAGGAAAACATCACTCATTGGTGTGAGCACAAAAGGGTACAGTGAGCTTCCCTCTGCAGACCAGGTTCAGCCTCACTTGGGAAACTGCCTGAACTTTTCGCATGCAGACAAAACTACTTTAAGCTACATAGTGGTGAAGTGGAAAGCTCTGTTTTTTGTGGCCTTTCCCTCCTGCCTTGATATGCCCCATCCCTTCCCTATCACATTGTTCCCATCTGCTCTATCCTTCCCTTTCCCTCCATTACAGTCCTCATTGCCCATCGCCCCCCTCCCTGGGAAGGGGGATATGTGCAACGTATCTGAGGCCCACCTTCTCCTTTTGGTGGGCCTCAGATATGTTGTACAAGCTCCTTATTTTCTATTTGTTTCCTCATTTCTCCATCCACTCTGCCCTCATCCTCTCAGGTACAGTCAATAACTAAGGCAGCTTTGGGATTTCTACTATTTCCACTTGTTTATAGACAGTAGGGCAGCACTCATTAAACATAGCTTCCTTCTTTGTTTTCCAGCTGTAGATGGAGTCTGAAGGTGAACAGGAGGCTGCGACCACCCGGTGTCTGGCACAAACACCTGTTGGGAACGTAGACTCCACTGATGTCAGACAAGATGCCAGATGGAAAGTGGCAGCTAGTTCATGGGTGCAGAGGACAGGGAGGTGCTGTAAAGAGAGGTTCTTTCAGTCAAAATGTAAGATTTTTTTCTTTGGTGTTAGGTAAGACAGCTTCCTGCAGAAAGTCTGAAGTCTCGCTCCAAATCTAGTTCCAGATCCCCTGGCTTGGACAAGACAAAACCTGGGAGTTTACTTCTAGGCAAAGCTGTAGTCACAAAAATTAAGATAACCGTGTTGTGGTTTAACCCGGCAGGCAGCTAAACACCACACAGCCATTTGCTCACTGCCCCCCTGCCCCTGCAATGGGATGGGGGAGAGAATCGGGGAAAAAAAAAGTAAAATTTGTGGGTTGAGATAAAGACAGTTTAATAGGACAGAAAAGGAAGGGAAAATAATAATAATAATAATAATGATGATGATGATGATGATGATAAAAGAATATACAAAATAAGTGATGCACAATGCAATTGCTCACCACCTGCTGACCGATGCCCAGCCAGTCCCTGAGCAGTGATCGCCGCCCCCCGGCCAACTGCCCCCAGTTTACATGCTGAGCATGACGTCACATGGTATGGAATGTCCCTTTGGCCAGTTTGGGTCAGCTGTCCTGGCTGTGCCCCCTCCCAGCTTCTTGTGCACCTCCAGCCTTCTCAGTCGGTAGAGCATGGGAAGCTGAAAAGTCTTTGACTAGTGTAAGCACTGCTCAGCAACAACTAAAACATTGGTGTGTTATCAACATTATTCTCATCCTAAATCCAAAACACAGCACTGTACCAGCTACTAGGAAGAAAATTAACTGTATCTGTTGTTGATCCAAGTGTGAACTGTGTATGTCTGATCCTTTTGTGTGAAAATGGGCATTTTTCCATGTGGTAGTTTACCTGTATGAAATACTCTTGGATAAGATGTAGAAAGTGAAGTCAAACCTCATTAGAGACAATAGTTTGTGCCTTTGCAACAGATGAGCTTGCACATCTGCATTTAAATTTGTGTGTGAAGGACAGCTTGTGACAAAGAGAAAATACATTTGATTCAAGACTGCAGCTGTACTCTGAACCTCAGCCTTTAATGTTTGAATTGCCTGAGAACATTCTCCTGTTTTCGAAACATGGATGTAGCTTGATTGGAGTTAGTGATGACTTACAAGTTCTTGGCCTCCAGAGGTTATTTCTAAGAGGTCTGCAAAACATAGAGGAGATGATAAACTTGGGACTGGAAGGCTTAAATTTGCCATACAGGGACCTGCACATCGGTGGAAAATTTTAGGGTGTATACGGATCAAAAAAGATGCAAATTACGTGATAGTTGGCCATTTTATCGAACTGTCCAGTTACATAAATGTCAATTCAGGGTGCCTTGTTTGACTTCAGTAGTGTTTTGTATTTACATACTGGGAGCTTAAATGAAAGGCTATCCTGCTGCTGTCTCACTTAATACTAAAATATGGTCTGAGCCTAAGTGCTCAAATATACAAAACCATTAATGATCTTCTTTTTCACAGTCTGTTGCCGATACGTATTTCTTGCATTGGTGCTGGTGGTCCTCATTGTACTTGGTAAGCTTTTGGAACATTTTCTATTTGAGATATGTTTCCTCTAACTACTGGGCTCCAGGATCACAGCAGTCAAGCGCACCCACATTAGTACTCTGCAGCGCCTGCAGAGTCACAAAACCTGGGACTTCCATCACTATTTCAGTTGTTTCGATGTCGGTATAAGGTTGAATAACCTCCAGGCAGAATTTAAAAGGAGAGAGAATTCTCCCTACAGATAAAATCCAGATGATTCAGCTGTAAACTTTTTTTTTTTCTTTTTGCTGCATCCTTACTACTCTTAAGAGTATAGTTTCTTGCCTGGCCATGCATGTGGTGTATGCATGTCTTCTCTGTGCCTATCACCAGTAACTTACCTGATTGTACCAGGCTTTTATTAGGCTTTTATTTAAATTAGCTTTTTATTATTTCAGCTATTATTTTAGCTTTTATTAGGCTTTTATTTAAATGGAATCAGTCACATTTTCTTGGAGGGGGTGAGGGCAGTGCTCACAGGTGACTTGCTAAGGGGTCTCCAATTGTATATAGCAAAGAGAGTAGCTGATTAGAAAGGAAAAGAGAGCAAGCGTGGCAGCAGCAGGCTGCAGAGTCTGGGAGATCAATTCACTTCCTGCAAACCCCTCTACTCACATAACAGCCAGTTACTTTAATTTCAATATTAGCCATCTCCAAGCTTAAGCAGTGGAAAAATACACTTTGGGTGCAGAAGGTCTGGATTCGCTTCCAGCGGGATGACCCTTTATACACTGAGTGAGCCTGGGTGTGTTACAAAAGACACCATGCTGCACAGAAAAGGTCACTGTAACCATTCAGTAACAATCAGGGCAGATTATTTTTGTTTGGAAAATAGAAAACAAAATACATGCAAATTAATTGTCTTCATTGCAAGAAATTAAACTCAGCACATGAAATAAAACATGCCAGTGAGCCCTCTCACCCTCACAGAGCTACTGTGACAGAAAGATGAAGAGACGACATTAAAACATGCTGGGAAACAACTCCAGCAAACCATTCTCCAAACCATTATCTCCAAATAATAATAATTTTTACCTCTTCATTAACAGACAAACTTCATTAGCATCATATCAACACCTGATTTCCTTACCTTCACACAGATTTATCAAACACTTAAAGGTCTGATACAGAATCAAAGCAACTTGTCTTCATGAAAT